GACAGAGGCAGCACGGGAGCCCCTCTCGGTTGGTGGCCGCCTCTTTTATCCCCCCAGTCAGGGGCATCAGACACCACCGAGAAGTAACGCTCTTTACGGTGCCAACTCGCACAGGGGCCAGCCACCCTCAAGGCTGTGCAATCCGCCAGTATCCTCCTCCTCCTCCTCCTCCTGGCAGCCGCTGCTGCTCCCGACGTAGGTGGCTGCTGCTGCTTCCCCTGGGCCGCCCGCCTTCACGCTCTGCGCCACGCGATGCGCGGGGCAATTCCTCGTCACTCTCGCGCACGGCCCTCCCGAGCCCAAAGCGGTCCTCCTTTCAGCGCCTTGACTGTAGAAGGACGACTCTCTTAGGGAAACAAGCAATACATAAATATAAGAACTCGGAGGCCCGCGAGGATTTCTCAGATCGGCGCTGAACTCCCCTCCCTGGCGCGCGGAGCGCGCCAGAGGCGCCGCCGGAGGAGCCGCCAAGGAGCCCCCGCGACGCTCCGAGGAATCCGCGCTTACCTCCGAGGCGGAGGCGGAGACGGAAGAGGAGGAGGAGGAGGAGGAGGAGGAGGAGGAGGAGGAGGTTTGTGTCATTGTGTGTTCCCCTATCTCTGGCACGGACCAAAATGCGCGAAGCGCGGCTGTCGTCGTGCCCCCGCGGGTGACCCAAAGGGGCTTCGCCCGCCCCCACATGAGCTCGAGATCGACCCCAGGACCCCATCCTTGGAGACCATCCTGCTGAGTCTCTCGAGCTGTGTGCCTCCTTGTCCACGAAGGCGTGCCCGGGGAGGCCCCCCAGAAGGGCAAAAACATGAACAGGTCTCGGCCAAGCCCCCGGCACCGACTTCTCATCCTGAATGAATGTCGACGGTCCTGGGCAAGCGCTCCCAGAGATGGAAACTTGCAAGAAACCTTCCGCCGTGTCTTTGTTCACGATCCGAGAGGGTCTGTTATGTTGTAAATGCTGGCGTGGACCCTTACCTATCCCATCGCGTCGCTATTGACGTCGGATCTGGGTCGAACCCACTTCGAACCTGCGTCGAAACCGCGACGAATCCGCGCCAGCCCCCCGCGCTGGATACGGGAGAGCACCGCTATTTGCACGGCAGACGTGGCCCCCCCTGCAGCGTGAGGCCCGGATTGCGAGGCGTGGATGTGTTCGCGACCACTGCGTGGGAAACGACGTTCGGGGACCTCGGCAGTCTGTCGACATGGATACGTTTGGCCACCCCAGGGCCAGAATGGGTGAATGATATCCACCGCCTGCCGATGTCTCCGAAGACAAGCGATGGTCATGGACAAATCCCCTGCTTGAGAGGAAGACACAGTAGCAAGAGCATAAACTTTCGGAGCTCGGAGCAGATCGCTTGGGTCGGCGGGGCGGCGCCAGAGGTGCCGACAGGGGAACCCAGCGCCAACCCTCGGCTCAAGTGTGTTAAAAATCTCAAGTGTGATAACAACTGCTCGGCTCAAGAGTGATAAACAGACTGTGACAACACATTTGAGTTGTTCTATCACTTGTGAACCCGCGCGGAATTCCGAAAGTTTGTGTTCATACAATGTTGTCTTCTCTCGAGGAGGACGTTAAGGTGAGGTAGGGGAACAGGTGGGGTTAGAGTGACATCGCTCAAATCAGCCCGTGTAAGAAGGAAACGAGGATCTCCAGCTGGGGTACGCTCCCGAACCCCACCTTGGGACAACCCCTCCTCTGCAGTACCCCGATTGTTCGAGACTCGAACCCCGACACCCGACGTCGTATTTTTTCATAGCACCGACCCTGGAGGTCTCGACCCATTCCCTCGGACCGGTCGTCCCCCACATCCTTATCGGGGCTCTTATTTTCTCTGCACACCCCCCGCGGAGGAACCTCACACCTTACCCCCATTCTGCCTTCCTGTCCAGCATAAACATCACGCACCCCCTCTCATCCTCTTCTTCTTTCAAAATAATCACGATTACGATCTGTACCACCAACAAACTCACAGCATTACCATCAGCATCATCATCACCACCGCCGTCATCATCATCATCAGCATCACCCGCTCACATTCTCACTCACCCACATCCACTCATCACTCACTCACTCATAATCATGCCATAACTCCCCATGGTCACCGGCCACCATTATCATCATCTACACCATCGCACACCGCCATCGTGTCACCACCAACATCCCGTCATGATCATCGACAAGAGAGCCCAATCGCTGATCCAATAAAACCGCGTTGAATTCCGAAAGTTTATACTCGTGCCAGTCTGTCTCCTTCCTGGAGCGACGTAAAGGTGGGGTAGGGGAAGAGGTGGGGTCAGAGGAGGAACGACGCTCAAAACGTGCTGTGTGAGATGGGAAATTGCGCTACCGAGGAACCCCACATACTTATATTATGGCTGGAGTGATGATAGCTGAAGTGAAGCATGTGAGAATGATGTTGGTGGCCGTTGCCCCGCCGATACCGTTGGTGACGCCACTCAAGAGGGGAGGTGGAAGAGGAGAAGCGCCGCGCCAGCCACACTTTGCGAGCCCGGTGACCTGGACGACCGGCGCGCATAGCGGCCGCGGTGAGGGATCACCCCCTGCGCACCCCGTCTGGTGTCGAGAAAGCGTCACGCTTGCTATGCCCTGGACGACCGTCGTGCAGATTGGCCGCGGTGAGGGACCAACCCGTGAGCACCCTCTATGGTGTCGAGCAAGTGCCACGCCTGCTATGCCCTGGACGACCGGCGCGCATAGCGGCCGCGGTGAGGGACCACCCCCTGCGCACCCCGTCTGGCGTCGAGAAAATGCCACGCCTGCTATGCCCTCGACGACGGTCGTGCATAGTGGCCGCGCTCAGGGACCACCCCCTGCGCACCCCCTCTGGTGTCGAGACAGTGCCACGCCTGCTGTGCCTGGACGACCGTCGCGCATAGCAGCCGAGCTCAGGGACCACCCCCTGCGCACCCCCTGTGGTGTCGAGAAAATGCCACGCCTGCTATGCCTGGACGACCGTCGTGCATAGCGGCCGAGCTCAGGGACCACCCCCTGCGCACCCCCTGTGGTGTCGAGAAAGTGCCACGCCTGCTATGCCTGGACGACCGTCGTGCATAGCGGCCGCGCTCAGGGACCACCCCCTGCGCACTGGACGACCGTCGTGCATAGCGGCCGAGCTCAGGGACCACCCCCTGCGCACCCCCTGTGGTGTCGAGAAAGTGCCACGCCTGCTATGCCTGGACGACCGTCGTGCATAGCGGCCGAGCTCAGGGACCACCCCCTGCGCACCCCCTCTGGTGTCGAGAAAGTGCCACGCCTGCTGTGCCTGGACGACCGTCGTGCATAGCGGCCGCGCTCAGGGACCACCCCCTGCGCACCCCCATGGTGTCGAGAAAGTGCCACGCCTGCTGTGCCTGGACGACCGTCGTGCATAGCGGCCGAGCTCAGGGACCACCCCCTGCGCACCCCCTGTGGTGTCGAGAAAGTGCCACGCCTGCTGTGCCTGGACGACCGTCGTGCATAGCGGCCGAGCTCAGGGACCACCCCCTGCGCACCCCCTGTGGTGTCGAGAAAGTGCCACGCCTGCTGTGCCTGGACGACCGTCGTGCATAGCGGCCGCGCTCAGGGACCACCCCCTGCGCACCCCCTGGTGTCGAGAAAGTGCCACGCCTGCTGTGCCTGGACGACCGTCGTGCATAGCGGCCGAGCTCAGGGACCACCCCCTGCGCACCCCCTCTGGTGTCGAGAAAGTGCCACGCCTGCTATGCCTGGACGACCGTCGAGCAACCACCCCCTGCGCACCCCCTATGGTATCGAGAAAATGCCACGCCTGCTATGCCTGGACGACCGTCGTGCATAGCGGCCGAGCTCAGGGACCACCCCCTGCGCACCCCCTGTGGCGTCGAGGAAGTGCCACGCCTGCTATGCCTGGACGACCGTCGTGCATAGCGGCCGAGCTCAGGGACCACCCCCTGCACACCCGTACTGGTGTCGAGAAAGTGCCACGCCTGCTGTGCCTGGACGACGGTCGTGCATAACGGCCGCGCTCAGGGACCACCCCCTGCGCACCCCCCTCCTGCCATCCCCTGCGAATCCTACACGCACGTCTTGTATATGGCATGTTCTGTGTATGTGTATGATGCGTGTGCGGCCATATCGGGACGTGTCTCATGTGTGTGCCCACTATGTGGCGCACACGCCTCAATGGACGCTGCAGTGAACACGCCAGGCGCGCACTAGCATTGTATGGTGTGTGTGTTGTGTGCGAGTGTGTGCATGCGTGCGGCTGTATGTAGACGCGTGTCTCATGTACTTGCCGTGCATGCGTTTAGCGCGGGTGAGGAGAGGAAGGAGGAGAGAGGAGGGGAGTGGGGGTGCGACGACGTGTGTCTCAATGAGGGTGATGTATGATGCGTGTACGGCTGTATGTGGACGTGCTTATCATGTGGATGCCAGTATGTGGCGCATACGTCTTGCATGTCCGTGTGCAAGCGAGAAGGAGATGGGGAGGGGGGAGGTGTGAGACGCGGGTGCGGCGCGGCAGGGAAGAAAACCAGAACCCCACGAAACATGTGGGTAAGAAGATTTCCAGCTGGGGTACGCTCCAGAAACGCACCTTGGGACAACCCCTCCTCTACGAATCCCAAATTGTTCGAGACTCCAACCCAGACGCCCGACGCTATGACTGTTTCATAATTCCCCGGGACCGGTCTTTCATCCTGTGGCTTTTTGACGGCCCCGAGGCCCTGCACGGCCCCCCAGAGGCCCCGAATAGCTAGAAACCGTCTGTTGCACTGTTACATGACTCGAGGCCGTCTGGGAATTGGGCGCGATAAATGATGGGGCGAGAAATGGAAACAAGAAAGGTGGCCTTTCCGGGCCCTCAGGGCCCCCCTCTGGGGCCCCAGAGAGGGCTTCATAGGGGGCCCTGAAGGGCCCCTTTTCTGCAGCCCTCGCTGCCCCCCGATGTGTCGCCCCCCCAAGCAATTCCCGCCCCGTGGGAATGGGCTCGTGCGGACGCTGGGAACGCTGGGGCAGCCACTGGTCCGCCGCCATGGCCGGGGGCGGCGCGCGCGCGGGCGACAGCAGCCGCTGCGTGGGCACGGCCGGGTAGGCGGACATGGGCGGCCCGGCGGGCCCCGCCGATCCCGAAAGGCTCATCGGCCTCATGCCTGACCAGCCTCGAACTTATCCCTCTCCCGATGATCGGCGGCGAGCCGGGGGGGGGGGAGTGAGACGGGGCGGGCCTTCTCGGGAGGCTCGGGAGTCCCCCGCCTTCTGAGAAGTTGTCTAAGCTTTCCCCGAAGATAGAGGTAACTCCCCAGAAGGCGCGAGGGCTTCTGCGAAGTCCCGCCGCCTTCTGAGAAGGCCTCCTCCTTCTCGTGTTCCCCCCGCGCTCGCCGCCGACAAGGTCGGCAAGGCCGAGGCGATGACAATCTCAGGGATGTGCCCTCAGAAATGGAGGGAACCCTCAAGATCGGCACCGAGGTGAGGCGATGCCGAACGTAGGGATAGGATCTGCTTCAGGCTGGTAGATGCCGGGGTCGTAGCCCGTAGGGGCGAGCGGGCTGGCCATGGCCCCCGCGGGAGGCCGCCGAAGACCGGGCCGGAGCTGCGAGGCGGGGCTCTTTATATTTGTGTACTAGAGATACATCAATCTACACAAATAATGCTGTAGTTACGCCTTGAAATGTGTATGCGTTTCTTCATGTATGTGTTTTCTATGTCTACATATGCACACACACACATCCACGCATCCACCGCACGGGGAACCGACCCCCTGGGACCTCAACGGGCGGTGGACCTGGTTGAGTATTGGCCCCTGGGGGCCCGAGTCTTAGCTGCCCCGATGCGCTACGCAACATGCAGCCCAGAGCGTGCCGGCACGGAACTCAGCACGCAGAGTGAAAAACGTACGTCCGGCCATGCTACGTTCGCCACAGCGTGGACCAACGAAATGAGCCCGAGCGCAACGCCTCGACGCGGTACGTTTCGAACACGGGGAGCGTGTTGCGTTTCACCCCGAGCGTCCCAGGGCAGCTAAAGGCTCGAATAGATCCACATCCACCGCCTGCGGAGGGCCCCGGATATCAATCGACCCGCCAGACTGAGGATCTGGGCAGA